CTCCAGGAGCGTTTAGGGGGCGAGGTGCTTGCTGCAGACGAAGATACTCCTATTACCCCCTTTTACTTAGAGTTTGTCCGAATCCATCTCTACCAGCGAACACTATTCTCCACCGAAGAGGGCCACATAGGCTTAGGCCCGTTCAATATGAAGAAAGGTACGTGGACTTTCAACAGGAAATAGTAAATACGAGCCCTCACCAAAAATCAATTTTATACGTACGCAGGTGACATTATTGTGGTTCTTCTCGGCTACGATGCTCCTATGTTGCTTCGAAAAGCTACAGATGGCACCCATCAAATTATTGGCGAGGCTATGGTCTACACACTCAGGGATGCGATTGGACTACTTGGGCCTATTCCTGACCCGTGGACATGTCAAGTTTATATGGACTCCGTCGGCCTCACTACCACGTATCGTTTTCTTAACCAAACGAACGGGCTAGTCACGCAGGACGATCCTAGACTCCCTCCTTTGGTTGGTTGGGAAAGTATAATCTCTGTTAGGACAGCAGACGATCCGGAGGTATACCAGAAATTTAAGAACATTGAAACCGGAGATATGATCAATTACGACCCCAGAATGTCTGTTGACGCCTTAACGAAAATGGGAGTGGAACTAAAAGCGTTTGTGCTATCATAGTTTTCAAACTTAAGAAGACCGCAAGAGTGCTTACATAGTAATTTCTCTTTCAAGTCAAATAGAGCATAAACTAAATAACAGAGATGGTATATATAGAAATCCAAAAAAAAAAAAAAAAGATAAGAACGGTGAAAAGGAAAAAAACATAACGACGCAGGCCTGATTCGAACAGACGCTCCCGAAGGAACAAGATTTCTAGTCTTGCGCATTAGACCACTCTGCCACTGCGCCCAGTTAACGATTACGATAGTTTTGTATTACTTTATAATTAAAAACTTATTTTTAAAAATTAAATAAGATTTTTTAAAAAGAAAAAAAAAGGTGGGAAATAGTGAATAATTATAATATTTTATTTTATATTTAATATTTAATAAAAGAAAATTAATGTACATATATATTTAAGTACTTAAAATAAAAAATGATCGAACCCAGGCTCGAACTGGGGACCTTGAGTGTGTTAGACTCACGTGATAACCAACTACACCATCCGACCAATTGTGATAAGCCTTATCAATTGAAATATTATATAGTGTGCTTATAAACAAAGTCTCTTAACAACGAGGGTTTAGGCAACCTTGGTACAATTAAGAATTGAATGTATTCCAAGAATAATAGCTGACAAGACTAACTAATGATAGCTAAAAAGGTTTAACCTATATAAAAAGCTAACTAGCCCTGTCACACATAAGATCAAGGACTAAGCCCCAGCTATGACATATTCCTTAATCGTTTAAAACATCAGCACGTTAATTTATAGTGGCGTTTATAAGTTCATGTGTTAGCTACAATATTAAAGGAATATAAATTTAAACGCTTTACATTATTATATGTTGAATTTTCATATAGATCCTACTGCAATAAAAAATGTAGCTTTACTGAAACCGAACTAAATATACATACCTAAGTAGGTATTGAACTTTGAATGCTCACGACTTGAACTTCAAGCTCCGATATATTTACTTTGGAGCCGGTGAGTCTCGATAGGCAGGAGGCAAACACCCTTCTAATGCCAGCTTTATTTGTTGAACCATTGACTTCGACCACCAACGTTGATGCTGGATGGTACCGCCGATTACCCAGTAGTTCTCCATACGCAAGTGACGCTTCCACACTCCGCGAATCTCTCCCTAGGCGTCCACACCCTATGTGGCATCTAGTCTTGCTGCGATCTCCTGAGGACCGAGGAAGTCATTACCAAGTGTCACATTGATATCCATCACGCCTAACATTTCTTTCACAATCTCATAAAATGTCATAGTCAGCACACCCCGTGCACCAAATGACTGCATCAGCGTCAATAACACTACCATCAGAAAGATGCAATCCAATTTCGGTGTACCCTAGTGGCTTCACAAGACCACGTACAGCGACCTTGCCTTCAACAATAAATTTAGTACCCCCCACGTCGATATAGTGACCACCACTACGCTCCGCTAGGTGATGCTGGATATCCACCGACGGGTCCCTACTATCGCAAACGGAGAAGTCTGCTTGAAAGAGAGCCAGATAACGGTTACTCCTTCAAAGGTTAGTTATGGCTCACATAGAAGGATTGTGGAATTAAACTCACGGTTCCTGGGAAGCTAGGTGCGCGAACAGCCCTTGTGAAAATTGACCGTCGAGTGTCAGGGGAAAGGTACTCAGGAGTTTATCAGTTACGTTGATGGGCATAATATCATAGGCTCCAATGCTGTAATGAACCGTTACGTATTCGTACGGGAAAATGTATGTCGGTGACCATGCCACCATAGTCGTGTTCAGCCCTGCATTGTAGCAGTCTTGCATAGTGTCGAATGCAGTATTGGCTGAGCCGATGACAGCAGTCTACTACACCATGAGTTTCAGGGATGGCTTCAAAGGAATGACTTGAATAAATAGAGAGAAAGTTGCCTTAAACGTATATATGACTGGGAGAACTATATTTGACGTACCTTTCTTCCTTTGTCTAATAGAGTCTGCGCGTTCTGGTAATCCACGGAATGCAGACTCAGACCTTTGAACAAATGCACATCTCTTACCTATAGGCGGAAGGTATGGTTTTTGACTAGCGATCGCCGTGGCCTGGACAAAATGGTTGCTCATGATGGGTTTCATCAACCCTCCATCAGACGTTTTAACCTTGATTGTCCATTTTTTGTTAGACGGCTGGTAGATAGTCGAACTTATCGTCGCTGAAAGAATGACATTGAGATGGAAATTTGCAGCATATTGTTGTAAATGTTCCGCTACATCATATTTAGTGAGCCGATGGGGACTCTGGAACTCTTTTCTGTACGCTTTATAACGGCGAGTCGTTTCATTGCTTTCAATACTGTAAGTGATATAGAAACTCACCGGAACAAGGTAGCTCGCAATTGGAAGTTGGTACGTGAAATCTAAGACAGTCGTATCGATTGATCCAGTTGTGACCAATATGTGGATTGCTTTATCGACCACGCTCTCAACGCCCAAGGCTTTGAGTCGTGCTGCAGTCATAAGTCCGCTATAGGTAATTAGCTGGTGTAAAATAAAAGGAACACTTAGGTATTTTTACAGTCCCCCCCCCCCCTCCCCCCCCCTTGCCGATGATAAAGACGTTAGCTTTGACTGTATCGATTCCATCTAGGTTTCTACAAGGTGACAATAGTAGCTTTTCATCTTCTGGGTGCTGAACTATGTTATCAACCTAGGTTGATAACATCCAAATTGTCCAAGACACAACACCTGCGGCTGTGTCACTCTTCACTGGTAGTAGTACCACCTTCCCCATACAACTTAACCCAGGGGAGCTCGTACGAAAGGATATGCCATAGTCGATGAACTAGTACGGGACTAATTGCAGAGAAGTGAGCGTCTCCACTGAGTTGAATATTACCTGTCACTCCTTGGAGTTGATACATCCGCAGCAAAGCAGCAGCGATTATTTTAGGCGTAGAGAACGTACGGAAGTGACTAGTGAGAGCCACTATGTCCCGCCAGAATGCCTGTTACGAATAGAAGAGCTAGCTAGTTTCTCAGCATCATTGTTCTGCAACGGGCCATATGGCGTAGTGGTTAAGCGTTTAGCTTATTAATATAAAATATTAATGCATAGGTTTAAATTTTATTGTAGCCTTAATAACCATTTTTTTAAGGCATAACACTTTTTATTGCCATTTCCCCACTTTTTCATAGTTAATAAAAACATTATTAAGGTTATAATAAAAAACTTTAGTTTTTTTTTTTTTTTTTTAATTACTAACTAATTTAGTTAGTTTTAACTATAAAACCCACTAACTACAGTAGTTTTAACTAAGCTATTAACTAACTTTAGTTTATCCACTTTTCCACCTATAACTTTTTCTTAACCTTTACTAAAACTTTTACACTATATAAACTTACGTTATTATAAGCCTTACCTTTTTCCTTTTTGCTTTTAAATTAAGCAACCTTTTCTCTTTAAAAAAAGATAAAAGCACTAGCTTTTTTATTAAACATAAAAACGCCAATTTTTTTCTTTTTATCTTAATTTTTTTTAAGTTTAAAACAGTTAAAAAAACGACTTGCTGCTTTATCGGCTACTTCTTTAAACTTAAAGTAAAAAATAGCCTTTATTCCTTTTTAACTTTTTATAAAAATTAAAGTTAAAATAAAAAATAACTTTTTTACATTTAAAAAGCGCTAAATAACGCAAATAAAAAACTACAAACTTATTCTTTTTAAATTTATAAAAAACTTAATAGTTTTTATTTTAATTTTTTTTAAAAAATAATTAAAAAAAAGTAAAAGTAAACGCTAAAGCTAAATTTAACATACTTATTAATTTTTTATTTTACTTAAATACAAGGTTATGATTTAGTTACTAATTAGTTACTAAATTAACTAGCCCCACTAACTAGAGTTAGTTAACAGCCTAACTAAAACTAGGTTAGTTAGTTAATAGCCTGATTAAAACTAGTGTTAGTTAGTTAGTAGCTTAACTAAAACTAACTACATTAATTTAAGTTAGTAACTACAAAAAAACTAAAAACTAATAAAAATAACCTACTTTTTTAATAAACATTAATTTTTATTAGTATTTTTATATTACATATTAAAAAAAGTAGCGTATAAAGAGTTTTTATATATATAATTTAAGCTATTTAAAAAAAGAAATTATATATAAAATTACATTACGATTTTATATAATTAATTCTTTAAAAAATATAATTTTATTTTTAATATATAAAAAGTTTTTTAATTTTTTAATTTAAAGTTTGTTAAAAATTACAATTAAGCTTAAAAACGTTTAAACTTATTAACATTATAACTTTTCCAATTTAATTAATAAAATTTTAGTTTTTATAATAAAAATTATAGTAAATTTTATATTTAATTTATATTATATTTAAAGTTTTAAAGGCCACATAGCGCAGTGGTTAAGCGCTTAACAGGCATTAATATAAAATATTAATGTAATAGGTTCAAATTTTATTGTGGTTTAATTAATTATCTTTTTTTTAAAGCATAACACTTTTTATTAGCTATTTTATAGCTAATAAAGCATTATTAATAAAACTTTTTGCTAAATATTTACATTATTGCTAACTAATTGCTAATATATATATATATTTTGCTAACATTTTAAAGTAACATTATAAATAAACCAAAAAGCATTAATTAAATAAAAATGTTAACGACTAAAATTTTTATTACTAATAGCCTTATTAATAAGATAATTATTGTTAATAACTAACTTTACTATCGCTAACACCCCTTATAAAGTAGCTACTTATAAGGTAGCTTTTTATAAAGTGCTATTGTTAACTTACATACTTTTTATTGCTAATACCTTTTTAAAACTAATAAAGTAGCTATTGTCGACTTATATACCTATCGCTAACCTTACTATTGCTAACACCTCCTTATAAGGTAGCCTTTTATAAAGTAGTTATTACCGACTAACTTTATTAACAAGGCTTTAAAAAAAGCTAACTACAGTAAGGCGCTATTACTAACGTAAAGGATTTTTTATGTAAATTTTTAATATGTAAGTACGAGGGCATAAACTTTTTATTTTAGCCGTTTTATAGTTTATATAGGCTTAAGGTTATAAATAGCTAGTTAGTTAAGTAGTTTGCCTGCTTTAAACGTAAAATATATCATGATGATGATAATAATAATAATAATATATTTTACGTTTAAAGCAAGTAATGAAATTAACTAATTAATTAGTTATTTATAACTTTAAGCTTATATAGATTATAGAACGGTTAAAGTAAAAGGTTTTGTAAGCTTTTATATTTGCGTATTAAAAATTTATATAAGAAATTTTTTGCGCTGATTAAGAAGTTAGCGCTTTATTGTAGCTAGCTTTTTTTAAGGCTTTGTTAGTAGGATTAATTGGTAATAGCTACTTTATAAAGAGCTATTTTATAAAAAAGGTATTAGCAATAGTAAGGTTAGCAATAAGTGTATAAGTTAACGATAGTTACTTTATTAAAAAAAAGTGTTAGCGATAAAGGTATGTAAGTTAGCAACAGCACTTTATAAAAAGCTACTTTGTAAAAAAAGAAATATTAGCAATAGTAAAGTTATTAGTAATAAATATTTTATTAATAAAGCTATTAATAGTAAAAATTTTAATTATTAGCATTTTTTATTTTGTTAATGCAATTTTATTTGTAATGTTACTTTAAAATGTTAGCAAAGTATATGTATATGCCGGCAATTAGCCGGCAATAATGTGGGTGCTCGGCAAAAAGTTTCGCCGATAGTGCTTTATTAGCTATAAAATAGCTAATAAAAAGTGTTATGCTTTAAAAAAAAAAATAGTTAATTAAACTACAATAAAATTTAAACTTATTATATTAATATTTTACACTAATATTTATTAAGCGCTTAATTATTGCGCTATATAGCCAACTACTTTATAAAAAGCTACTTTATAAAAAAAATATTAGCAATAATAAAATTATTAACAATAAATACCTTATTAATAAAGCTATTAATAATAAATATTTTAATCGCTAACATTTTTATTTTACTAATATAACTTTATTTATAATGTTACTTTAAAATATTAATAAAATATATATATATGTTAATAATTAACCAGCAATAATATAAGTGCTTAGCAAAAAGTTTTGCTAATAGTGCTTTATTAGCTATAAATAGCTAATAAAAAATATATATACTTTAAAAAAAAAATAATTAATTAAACCATAATAAAATTTAAACTTATATATTAATATTTTATACTAATAAGCTAAATGCTTAACTATTGCGCTATATAGCTTATAAGCAATAATTATTTGCTTTAGTTTTAGCAAATTAATAAGCAGTAAAATGCGTAAAAACAATTTATTTTTAAAAATATAAACTTTAAATTTATTATTTAGTTTTAATTTAAAATTAAGTTTATTTTTTTTTTTTTAATAATATTAGTTTTTTTTAAATTACTATTAAAACTACCTATTTATAAGGTATTTTTAATAGTAAAATCGAAAATAACAAATTTAAAATTATCGAAATTAAATGTAAAAAACATTTTTATAAAAATAAATGTAATAAATGTAATAAATATAAAGTTATAATTTAATTATTAATTAGTTATTAAATTAACTAACTTTACTAATTAAAGTTAATTAATAGCTTAATTAAAATTAAGCTAATTAATTAATAGCTTAATTAAAATTAATATTAATTAGTTAATAAGCTAATTAAAACTAACTTAATTAATTAGCATTTTAATTAAAATTAACTAATATTAATTAATTAGTAACTAAAAAAAAAAAAAAAATTAATAAAATAGCATCATTTTTATTAAAAAATATTTTTTATTATAAAATATAAAAAATAAATAAAAGTTTATTATAATTATTAAAATAATGCTTAAAATAATTATTTATTTATTTAAATTAGTTTAATTTATAAATTTATATAGTTTATATTTATATAATATTAATAAAGCTATATAATTTTTTTAAATGTTTATTAAAAATTATAATTATTATTATAATAGTATTAAATTTTTTAAATTTACTTTTTTAATATATTAATATTATATTAGTATTATAACTATAAAAAAATTAATGCAAAATGTGGCAGTATAGGGTAGTATTATAAGTATGTAGAAAAATGAAAAGGTGCAACATTAAATGTACAGCTACGCTACATATTAAATGTTGCTATTTTTTTATTTTATTTACTAGTGTTAATATTAGTTTTTATTTTATTTTATTTATGTAAGGTACTATGCACCTTTTAATATATAGTAATTGCATTAAATGCCGGCTATAATAAAAAACCTTAATGCTTTTATTAAACATTATTTTAAACCTTTTTAAGCTTCTTTTGTAGTTTTTTTTATAGCTGTTTATTTTTAGTTAGTAAACTTTTATTTTAATTTTTTTTAAGAAGTTAACTGCAACTTTTTTTTAGCTTAAACACTTTTTTTTTTATAGTAATGTAAGTTTTTTTTTTAGTTAATGCTTTTAATACTTCTTTACTAGTTCTTTAATATCTTTTAGTTGCTATTTTAACCTTTATTAATTGTTTTTATAGCTGTAGCTTTTTTATTTTACTAAATACTTAAAATTTTCTTAACTTACTTAATGCTTTATAATAGTTTTAATTTTAAAAAATTTTCTTGTTTTTTTAAGGTTTTTTTAATTATTTTTAATTAGTTTAAAAAGTAGTACTATTCGATAAAAAAGATTTTTTTTATTAAGTTTTTTAAATAGTTAAGCAATTAAAACTATTAAGTAAATTTCTATAGTTTTAAGCAATTCTAATTTATATGTTAATTATTTCACTTTTTTTTTAATTTTTTATAAACTTGCGCGTTGTTAAAAAAATTTTTAAGCTAGCTTTTTAAGTAAATAGTATTTTTAATATAACTTTAAATAAACTTAATCTTTTTTATTAAATTTAACTAAATAATGTTTTTAATTATAAATTTGCTTAACTTTAATAATAGCAAAGTTTATTGCTAATTTTGCATTTTTGCGTAAATATTTCTTTAAATATTATATTTTTTTAAATAGCTAAAATTTTATATTATTTTTAATTAAAACGTTATTAAGTTTTAGCAAATAATAATTAAAAAGTTGTTCGTAAAAAAATAACTAAATTGCTTTTAAATACGCTGCGTTTAAATTTCACTGCAATTTAAGTAATAGTTTTACTTAATTGCTTTTTAAATTTTTAAAGTAATAATATTTAATAGCTATTTTAACTGTTTAATTTTTTTTTTAAATAATTTATTTGCTTAAAAGTAATAAGTTATTGTTATTAAAAATCGTGCTTTAAGCGCTTTTTACATTTCTTTTTAAAATTTTAAAATAAATTTACAGTTTTAGTTTAAAATAATTTCGCTAAGCACTTTTTAGTTAAATAATAACAATTATTGTGTTAATACCTTTACTTAGTTTTTTGCTATATAGCGCATATTTTTAAGTATAAGTAAAAATCGCTTTAATGTAGCATAAGTACTTGTTATTAAAGCGTTAAAGTGTAACTTATATTTCTTTAGTTTTAATAATTGTTATAAAGTGCTTATAAAAAGAATTAAAAAAAGTTTAATTATAAAATTAATCGCAATTATTTTTATTAATTTAAAATTACTTGGTTTAATTAGTTAATAATTTTTAAATAATTTATTTCGGTTTATGCAATAAAGCTTATAAGCTAAACAGTGTTTAACATATTACTTAATTAGCTTTATTTTTTTTTAAATAGCGTACTTTTTTAATTTTTTTATTATTTTATTTATATTAAAATAGTGTTTATTATTATAAGCTAATATTAAAACTTTTTTAATTATAAATTTAAATATATAAAAACAATTGTTTTTTTATTAATTAATATTATATAAAAGTTTTTTATAAATGCTAAAAAGGTAGCTAAGCTTTAAAAAAGATTTAACGTTTTTATTAAAACTTTTTTTTAATGCAATAACTATATTTTAATATTTCGAATTGTTTATATATTTTTTAATAAACTTCGTTATTATATTTTCGTTTATAATAGCTTTGTTAGCTTTAACTGTATATATTTAATTAAAAATAAGCTTTTTGTTAGTTCTTTTTAATGCACTTTTTATATTATATTTGTTGTTAATTATGTACAATTTGCTTAAAGCGTTAAAGATATAATTAAAACGTTTAAAAAAGTAATAAACTTAAAACTTATAATAAAAAAAGTAAATAAAAGCGTTTATTAGCTTTATATTAAATTTATTCGTTAATATAATATTAAGTAATATTTAATTTAAAATACTTTTAGTTGCAAAATGGTTAATAAGAACTACTATTAGCAAACGATTTGCTTTAATTATAATATATAGTTTTTTAGCGGTTTAAGCAACGTAAGTTATTTTTAATTTTAATAGTTTATATTTAGTTTTAGTTTGCAAAAGACATTTACTTAAAAACATTACTAGTTAAATTATTAGTTTTAAAATAAAAGTTTTAAGTACTTATTTATAATTATTTTTAACG